TGCCCCTCCTTGCTACATTTGTAGCAAGCACTCGATCGACAGACCCCCTCATGTACCTTGCCGCACTTCGCACAAGTGCGGCCCTTCTCGCATGAGTCTCAAACTCAATCTCCCTCTTCTGGGCATTTTCCTAGAGCTCAGCAAATGTCCGGTACGTCAACTTCGACATGAACTGCCGAATGTCTCTCCTCAAAATGCCCAAATACCGGCTCATATGTGCCTGCTCAGAAGACACCTGCTCAGGGCAGAACATCGCCCTCTCATGAAACTTCCTCATAATCACAGTGACCGAATCAGTACCCTGCTTGAGTTTCAAGTACTCCTGAAGCAGTCGTTCCCTCTCCACCGGCGGAACATACTCATCTCTAAACATGGTGGTGAACCTCTCCCAGGTCACATCTGAAATCTTAGCAACTGTAAAGCTTGCCGTCACAAACTTCCACCCGTCCTTCGCTCCCAAGCAAAGCTGGTTCAACGCGAACCAAACCCTCATATGCTCCGGACATGAACACATATAAAAGCATCCCTTAATATCAGCAATCCATCTCATCGCAGCGATCGGATCCTGCGTCCCATCAAACTCAGGTGGCTTCGTGTTGGTGAACTCCCGAAACAACAACGAGTCACCTCCCTGAGGCCTGGCAGCAGCCACAACTGCGGTGGCTACAGCAGCAGCAACCTCAGTCACCCCGGCGTACCGCTCATCGAAAGTCTCAATCAGTGTGGTCTTGATAGACCCAAACATCTCCAGAATCTCGGCTCGAATGGCCGCAACCACCTCCTCAGGAATCAACCAACGGATCTCCTCGTCACTGACACTACTGCTCTCAGGTGTGTGTCGTGCCCTAAACATGGTGTCTCTGAAATACAACATAAAATCATCATGGGCTTTCTCGACTATACTTGCACTCGATAACTCGACCCTGCTTGTTCCCCAATACCCAAAGGATTCTTACTTAGGGTGCACACTGCTTTGGTGTCTTCGGTAGTACGGGCCCTTATACTACTGTCTACACCGCATCAGTATTCACCCTAGGTCCTCCTCATTGGATCCTAGATCACAAGTACTCTATATCTCACTGTCATAGGCTACCCTTTGGTAGACATGTTAGCAGCCCCTCACTGCTACCTACTCGCTCTCAAGCATCACATAGCATCACAATCCTTCCTAGGCTAAGGCATCAGAAAATCAGGCCACTCTAGTCCTAATATGAATACCTAGCCAACTCTAGCATGCATAACATAACATATCATATCTCATAACACATAATGTAAGGGTATTTTGGGGATTCACCATTCGGGCGCTTGGTGACTGTACACATTGCTCTGCTCTGCTTGTCTCAAAACTCTTTTACTCTTTGAAAATTGTGTTATTATTAAAAAAAATATTTTCCTCAAATCCTTAGTTTGAGGTCAGATACGCCCGAAGGTACATCTAAATCCCTCAAACCAAGGCTCTGATACCAACTTGTAACAACATAAATTTTCAAAACAATTTTTAATTTTTCAACCACCAATTTATATTTAAACATTCTCAAGACATATGTTCCACAGTAATTATCAAAATAATACATATCCCAAGATCACTAATAAAATCTCCTGACTGTGTGTACGGATCACGCCGACGCATTTCCACGGTCCTCGCTAGTACCTGAAACACATAACACAACAACTGTAAGCATAAATGCTTACTGAGTTCCCCAAAATACCCCTTACACACATACGCCTTTCCAGGCCATACTCTACACGACCTTGCGGTCCATGTGTCTCAGGGGACTTCGGTCCCAGTCCCACTAGACCTTCTGGTCCTACTCGTATCGACCTTCCGGTCCATGACTCCTTGATCTTCCAGTCCATGTCATAATGCCTTCCGGCCCATATCATACATAGCATACATATCACATCCATAACGCTTACAGAACATGCAACGCATGGCATACAAAACATGCATCTCATAGCATACAAGAACTTCCGGTCACACATAGGTACCTTTCCAGGTATAGTATAGTGAGAAGACTCACCTCGGGTAACTCGGTAACTCGGAAATCTCAGACTCTATGAGATAGGATCTAGCTTCCGCCTAATCATAACAAACACTTCTCATTAATACATTTCCCCTAGGCTAGATGCTTTCCTTTCCTATCATTCTCAGAAGGGCAAAAGACCATTTTAGCCCTCTTAAGGCTCAAATACCCTAAAGTTGACCAAACCCTAAAAGTCAACAAAAGTCAACTTTCTGGCGTACGCGGCGCGTACCAGATCTGTACGATGAGCGTACCCGATGGCTTCATAGAATCGGGGTACGCGGCCCCTTACACCCTGCATACGGGGATTAAGCCCAGCGTAACTCCCAGCTTTCTCCTCCTTTTCATTCAGGTCTTAATCGGTTAAGACTTGCATCAATAATCCAGATCTGATTTGTCTAATACGACTTAATCCATAAAGTTGGTGACTTTAAGCCTTTGCATGGCTGTGGAAGTCACAAACACCCAAAACACTCCATTTCCAACCTTAAAAGGTCCATATCTCATGCATGAACAACCTTTTACAAGCAAGACTGGATTTTTATCACATAACAACACTAAATGAGCTAGTATGGGACAGATCTCGTCTTCTAAAAGCTCAACTACTCAAAAAGCTATGAACTTGGGGACCAACAACCCTAAAACTTCTCTCTACAAATTATGAATAAAAAAGATGTAAAGCTTGAAGCTTTTTACCTCAAAATGAGACTTCTTTCACTGCTAAACTCAGATCCAAAAGCTTGAGCTCCAACTCTTCCTCCTCCGAGGCCATCACTTTGCTCCAAATGGCTAAGAACACAATACTAAGCCCTCCTAGACACTCCCTTGCTATATGAACGAGATTTAGGGTTTTGAAATGGTAATGCTCTTGAAAAGGTGGCCAACAAAAGGGCCTTAAGGTTGCTTAAATAGGGAGGCTAAACATATTAAGGTTTCTCTTCTGGGCCGGGTACACCCCGCGTACACATTGGTACACCCCGCGTACCTGGCAACCCTTCCCGATCAAGACACGGATGGGTATTATGAGCATACACCCCAGTACGCCCCGCATACTCGCCAAACACGCATTTCCTTAAGAAGGGCCAAATGTGCTCCTTGCTCAAAAATGAAGGTTCATAAGGTATACGTGATTTTTGGGATGTTACAGGATGTATGTGTGATTGTGGATATGGAATGGTTGAGTCGCTTCAGTGCCATGATCGACTGCGAGGGTCAGCGGGTGGTGGTTCGAACTCTAAGTGGGGGAGAACTGGTTATCTATGGCGAGGGCACCAGATTGGGTTCAGGGTTTTGCTCGGCTGCCAGGGCTTGGCAGTATATTCAGCATGGGTGTGCGGGTTATTTGGCGTATGTAGTGGATACATGGGTCAGGGATCAGGTTTCGGTTTTGGATGTTCTGGTTGTTAGAGAGTTCGTTGATGTGCTTCCAGATGAGTTACCCCTAGTGACTTCAGAGATGCAGGTTGAGTTCTAGATCAATCTAGTGTCAGGTACGGCCTTTATCGCCAAGGCGTCGTACCTATTGGCACCACCCAGGATGCAGGAGTTGTCATCTCAGCTACAGGAACTGCTAGGCAAGCAGTTCATCCATCCAAGAAGTTCTCTGTGGGGAGCGTCGATTCTCTTCGTCAGGAAGAATGATGGTTCACACCGTATGTGCATTGATTACTGGGAATTGAACAAGTTAACAGTGAAGAATTGTTATCCACTCCCGAGGATAAATGATGTTTTTGATCAGTTGCAGGGAGCATGTTGCTTCTCTATGATAGACCAGAGGTCCGGATACCATCATATCAGGGTTAGGAAGGAGGACGTGGAGAAGAATGCATTCCAGACTCGTTATAGACATTACAAGTTTATGGTGATGTCGTTTGGGCTCACCAACATGCCAACAATATTTATGGACCTGATGAATCAGGTATGCCGACCGATGCTCGATCGCTTTGTCATTATGTTTATAGATGACACCTTGGTTTATTCCAAGAGCATAAAGCAACATGAGGAGCATCTCTGCAAGCTATTGGGAGTTCTGAGGCGATAAAGGCGTTATTCTAAGTTCTCGAAGTACGAGTTTTGGTTACGAGTGGTTCAGTTCCTTGGAAATCTCGTTAATAGGAGGCGACATTGGTCGACCCGCCCAAGATTGAGGGGGTTATGAAGTGGGAGATTTCGAAATCTCCCTCGGATATCAGGAGCGTCTTGGGATTGGCAAGGTACTACCGGATATTCATATAAGACTTCTCGAAGATTACGGTACCCCTCACTCGTCTGACTAGGAGGAGGGTGGATTACTGGTGGGGCCCTGAGCAACAGACTGCATTCAAGACTCTAAGTTAATGACTCTACGAGGTGCCAGTGATGACACTCCTTGAGGGAGTTGAGGATTTTGTAATGTTTTGTGACACATCGATCATTGGGTTGGGAGCAATCATTATATAGAGAGGACGAGTTATAGCCTATGCATCATGGAAGTTGAAGCCGCACAATATGTGATATGCCACACACGATCTTGAGTTAGGAGCGGTAGTGTTTGCTCTCAAGATCTACACATTTGTGCGTGTCCTTAAAAGTAATGTTGGTTTTCTAAAATTTGAAGGATAGAGGGCATGCATTTTTGTGTGCCCTAAAACTAGTGTCCAACAAAAAAAAACAGAGGGTACCGATCATAAAGAGTGTGTCGTGTAAATGTGTCGTTTTATGTTTTTTTAGGAAGACACGTTCTCTAATAAAATCCCAAAAAATTAAACACCCCGCCTATACATATCCTTCTTCTCCTTCTAAAATCCTCTACCAGAAAAACCTAATAACCCTTTAACCAGTCTTCCTCTACCTCTGCACTCAATCTCTCTCTCTCTCTCTCTCTCTCTCTCCCTCTCTCTCTCTCTCTCTACAAGCCCTAAGCTGTGACCACCAACATCGAACCTCATAAGCTCTAAGAGTTCAAAGTGCCTAAGCAAACACTTCCGCCATCTCAAGATGTCGGTTCAGGATTGGAATGGCACATCGCAGTACATGATGTCGTCATTGTCTCCACAAACTGCTGTCAAGGGCGGAGAAAACAAATGTGATTGGGTCTGGAACGAAATCAAATCCGAAGCTCACCGCAACGTCGAATCTGAACCAGACCTCGCCAGTTACCTCTACTCCACCATCATCTCCCACTCATCTCTCATAAGCTTTCTCTCTCTCTCTCTCTCTCTCTCTCTCTATATATATATATATATATATATATATATATATATATATATATATATATATATATATTATATATATATATATATATATATATATATATATCCATTTAGGAAAGAAACTCTACTCCTCCACTTTCCTCTCCACCCTCCTCTACGATCTTTTCCTCAACACATTCTCCTCCGACCCATCTCTTCTCTCCGCCACCGTCGCCGACATATGCACCGCTTGTCAACGAGACCCTGCGTGCATCTCCTTCGCTATAATAGGTAAGAACTTGATATTTAATTAGTACATATGCATCATTCATTTACACCGTACAATTACTTGAAGCTAGAGCACATACGATTGTTTCCATATGGAATATACACTCCGTTCCCAATTATTTCCATATAGATATATAATTCGGAACAATAAGTTCTCTAGGGTGTGCTATAAATCTAAGTTGTCAACGTTTTGAATTTTGTAACTAATTTTATTCTCTATTTTCTGTGGTTAGGGATTGTGGGAAACAAGTTTTTTTAGGCAGATTTGACACTGCTCTGGCTGCAGCTAGGTTAGAGAGAGAGTTCATTTTTACTAATATTATTATAGTTTAATTTAATTGAATGTGATTTTAACTTAAATGAATCAATGATTTTATAACTCAAAGCCTATGGTTGAGCTGCCATCAAGTTCAGGGGAATTGATGCAGATATCAATTTTCATATAAAGAAATATGAGGAAGATATGACACAGGTGGTGAGAATATGTTGGGATACTTTTTGTCTCATTAGATTAGACCCAACTTTTTAGTTTCTTAAGGGTAACGTCTCCAAATCAATGCAACACAACAAGTACAGAATTTGTCAAAAGAAGATTTTATTCATATACTTCATAGACAATGCACAAGATTCTCACGAGGAAGTTCAAAATACTGAGGAGTAACCCTCCATAAATGTGGGAGATGGGAAGCTTGCATGGATCCGCTTCTTGGAAAAAAGTAAGTTAAAGCAACCATTAGATACAAATACATACTTGATGAGTTAATGTAGGTATGTAGTATACTCTTAGGATTAAGTTATCCAAACACAATGTCATAGCGAGTAAATGAAAGCAATTAGGACACCTTTTTGTTTATCTACAAGATTACAATCCTTGGTTTGCAGGTATGTTTACCTTGGATTATTTGACAACGAAGTAGAAGCTGCAAGGTTGTTGTAATTTTATAATTGACAGTTAACATGTTAACCCATCCATCTTAACGAAGGCAACATTCAACAACATTTTCAATTTATGTTGTCTGAATTCAGGGCTTATGAAAAAGTTGCCATTAAATGTAATGGCAAGGAAGCTGTCACCAACTTTGAGCCAAGCATCTATGGAGCTGATATAAGCTTGGAAACCATGGATGAAGAAGGTATTGCATTGCTTGCTTATGAATATTCACTATTCCATTCCTTGAATAGATGACAAATAGACGATGTAAAAGATGCATAGAGAAAAAAGTGCGATTGATAGAAGTTTACTTGAGGTTGTTTATTTTTTGTTTTCTTCTGTCTTCTTTCTTGACCCCTTTTTCCTCATCAAAACATTCATGGATTTCAATTTTTTCAAAATCTTTTAT